AAATGGAATATTTTTTGATGAAATATCCACACCGAAAAAGTTTGATAACTGTATTTTCACATAAATGATGCTTTTACAGCTATTTTTTTTTACATACAGCAAATTGCATATGTTTTGTAACTGCTTTCTACATAATGTGTGTCCACAAAAAATCTGCTTTTGAAGATAGGTTTTCTATTTCATTTTCTTGTATCTATCAATAAAATGTTGGTTTTGTAGTCAACTGAACTGGCTAATGCCTTGTGTTAAACTTTGTCTGTGTACATTTGTTATTTGAAATTATTCTGGGTAGCAATGTTAAAAGTATGTGATTGTTTGAATACTCTTCCTTCCTTCCTTGGGACAGAACATTTTTGTTATGTTTCAACATTTGTTTCTTCATGTAGTTGGATGTTGGTCTGTTTCCATGCAGGTGGTAGTAGAAGCAAGAATTAAACTGTAAAATAAAGACAAACAAGCCAGTCATTTGTTTGATTGACCATGGTCATGTACTTTACATTGACTGTTGTTTTCCAACTTTTCATCAATAACCAGATGTTGTTCATTTGGTATCATGATACCATCAATTTTACCTGGTAAATGATTTTTCTTAAAAGTGTCTAAGCAGAAGACCTTAGTGTTCATCTTTGCTCTTGGAATTCACACCTTAATTCAATCCAAGAGGAGTAAAAACAGTAATCTGTAAGAAACCATTGACTTAATACTTAATTTGTATAGTTTTTATAGCTCCTAATTACCAGGCAAAAAACAAACAAACAAAAATCCATGTAAACGAGCAGCACTACTTAAAAACTTCACAGTAATTCGAAGAAATCAAGATAAATATGGACTCAACAGTAAGCTTTTGAGAATGCAATGATGCTCGAAGAAGACTTCATTGATGCTGGGTAATAATCTGAAAGGTAACTTTCCCATTTTATTATCTTTCTTTTGTGTAATGTAACAAAATAAATTCAGTTTAACTTTTAAGTGAGGATGAATCCTCATTATCTTCAATAGATTATTTTAATGACTGATTTTCCCATTTTGTCTAGTGACTAGCATCTAATTTCTCCTACTCAGTATCTGCCAAATCACACATTAAGGTCATGAGAATAAAGGAAATGATTACTTTCTAAAGAAGCTCGGGACTGTTAAACAAATCCTCCTTGTCAGTTCCATAGGAAATGTATGGAATGATGTGGAGAATATGCATACTGATTAGAGGGTGTAAAAGATTAAATGCAGTGATGCGTGATGATTTTAATT